TTACAGTGGATATAGACAAAACATACAGAACAAATGAATAAAAGAATAAAGCCATGAAATTAGTCTTAAAAACTAAAATTAAGACATGATTTTAAAGATTAAGTCTTTGGCAAGATTTACTGGAATTGAGGATCTTGGAATTTTTAAATAAAAAGGAATGATAGATGTTGATGAGCCCGTTTGTTTTTTCTTTTAAGGGAAATGAGGATGAGGAAGTTCAAGGCCATTCAGTGCTTGATATCTTGGTAAGAACTCCTCAACTTTTTAACGATCTTTGAGTCTAATTTATAGTTAGATCAACATACTAAAAGCAGGTAGGAAACCGAATATTTGAGTAGCTCTTGCTGTTGAGATTCCCTAAAGTGATCAGGCCACGACCAGGCACACAGCTGTTAGGATCCGCGTGCCTTTTCTCTTGGGTTGGTATTTTCCCCAGAGAAAATTCTTTTAATTACATGGCTGGATATTAAAAATCTGCTTTGTTGCTGAGCAAGACAGTGGGGTTGGGGTCTCAGGATTTCATACTCACATTTTACTCGATCCCTTTACATTTCGCAGAGCCCCACCCTCTCCCCAGACTCCCTCACCACCACTCCCAGCTCTGACATTTTGACAGAGGAAAACTTCTGCTTTTTGCCCAATAGGAAAGAAGTAATTTTGCGGTTGAAGGGACTCAAGAAGAGAATCTTGGGTAAAACTGCTCCTTTTTATGGTGTGAAATCTTGGTTTCTTTTGTTCCACTCTTCGAAGATTCCCTCATGTCTCCGTGCCCAGACTTTCTTTGGTTTCATGCAGGGAACCAAATCCCCTCGGATTGGTCCCCCTCCTCCTCCAGTCTCCTCTGACCTACTAGTCAGTTGCCACTTCTGCCTGTCTGCTTTTCAATGTCCAAAATACTGAAGACATCTCCCATCTCCCGTTACCTTTCCCCCTTTTTGTGTCCCTTTAGGTTTATACCATTATTTTTAACTTTCCCTGTCACTTTTTATTAACAGACATGATTTCTGAAAGGGATGACAGGGGCATATGCTTTTCTATGCTGTATTTAATTTATTAAAACCCTGAGTTCATAACTTTAAACTTCAAAATAGACATAAAAATGCATGTAATTAAGGCGTAACCTCTATTACTGTAGCTAAATGAAGTCAGACTGAAAATGCTTTTAAATATTTCTTGAAAATAGCACATGACTATTAATATGCAATAATTATTAATTTGAAAGTGCAGAAGACTAAATATTACTTTAAATCATGTGCTTCTGTGAGTCATAGGAGCTATAAACTTGGATAACTATTCCATGTATCCTTGAAAAAAGATATATTTAAGATAGAGTAATTCTAGGAAAACAAATGTTAAAAAAGCTTACCTGTTAAACAAGGTAAGATTTTTCTCACTGTTAGTTTGGTTCACATGTTGTTTTTTCCTTACAAATTTGGAAGTAGTGACTATTCTAACCTACTATTATCTCTGTAAATAATGTTTTCTCAGAATCTAAGTTAATGAGGTAAGTCTCAGTGATCTACTCATTAAAGCTCTAAAAATAGCTCAAGTGATAAATGTGGTGTCAGAATTTCCAGGCAAGGAGAAAACCTGTATCTAACAGTGATCAATGCCCAATTCCAACAGCATGACACTGCATATTCATTTAATGAACCCTTTCTCTGTTAATGACTACTCTTCCCTAGATGAAGATGATTCTACTTTCTGTGAAAAACCTGTAACAATATTGGACTTTAATAAATGATTATTTGGCATTTGCTGAATTTTAGGGGTGATCTGACATGGACTACATTTTCCGAAGCTCTTCAGACTTCCATTATCATTTCAGTGATAAAGGGAATAACATTCTCAGTAAAATTTTACTATGAAGGAATGTTTTAACCATTCTTTTGAAAAAATTCAGTGCAGTAAAATTGGTGCCAGTGAATTTTGCCCTTCACTGCTACCTGTTATAAATTCCATGCACATATTAAAAATGTATGCTCCAAGACCCACCTCTTCTGAATTACACTGAATTCTACCTCTACTGAATGTCCACTGAAGAGCTAGGTGTTGTGAAGTTAATATTACAATCAGGCAGTCCAGGGTTGTGCACCTACCATGTATTAGGTGTAAAGACCTTGGGAGAGACAATCACTCCACATATTCGTCTGTAAAATGGGGGCACTGCCACTCACTGCCTAAAGGATGGAATCTGCCTGTAAATCTGGTTAAGCTGTGCGTGTGAAGCACAGTGCCTAGTGCCAGGCGTGCAGTGGGTGATCAATTCGTGTTGGTTTTCCTCCCATGGCCAACAAGAAATATAAAAGATACACAAAGATCCGAACAATAAGAACCTGAATAAAAAAAGGTTTAACTGATCTGAATAATAAAGTAACATAATTCAGTGTGTGATGAATTCAGTTCTTGATTCCACTTTTCTGTTGGAGGTAGGCATTTTTTTCTGAATTTATTTGAATAAATTGTTCTCACCAGTTTGCAGAGAGGATGGGGATGTGTCAGAATCAGCTGGGTAACTTTTCCAACCTTTATTCTCTCTTCTAGACTCTTAGCCCGAGAGATTCTGATATATCACCTTCTCCTGTCAAAAATTCACTGTTTCAGGCCCATGAAGCCCAACTCTTATCAAGACTTTTCGAAATCACATCTCAGGAATGTGAGTTTCTATAGAACTAAACTTGCTTTTAATTAAGCCTGGGTAACTGACCAAAGTCCTTTCCCCTAATTTCATGATTTATGAGAGTATGTAGCTTCCCAGTCTAAGTACGGAGGTATCCACTGGTATATCCCAGAGCCATAGAAACGGCAAATTCCAGGCAGATGTATCAAGGCAGAAGAAAACCTAAACTATTTCTTTAAAATTTGACATGGCAATAAATTAAAAAATTATGTCTGTTTCTAATGTTTAGACAGTTTCACAGTGTTAAAATAAATCCACTCCATGTTATTAAATTTGTAAATCATGGGATTTCTAAGTTAAAGATGACTTACATTTATCACTGCTGCTGCTGCTACTACTATTACTACTACTACCACTGCTGGCAGTAATCACTGGAAAATATTTATGGAGTCATTACTGTATGTTAACGACTGTGTTAAACAACGTTACCTGCATAATTTCCTCTAATCCTTCCAACCATATGTGAAAGTTCCTCTTTAGAATAATCTAATACACCAGTTATGGTCCCAACTCATTGAACTATAAAGAATATATCTAATTCTTACTCCATATAAAAATCTTTTAAATAGTTGAGAGCAATTTTATGTTGCATTTTCCAAATCAATTATTTTTACTCTTTCTGAAATGATGAGACTGTGATCCCCTTTCCACTTTGGTAGCTGCCCTCTTAGTGCCTCCAGTTTCTCTCTTTGCTCCTTCTAGATGCTACCTGGAAGTGAACAGAACTCTCCTGTATACAGTAGCCAAGGATTATCACCTCCCTTGTGTTGGATTTAGCTTTACTCTTCAATCTAAAGGCACATTAGCTGTTTTGGCCTCTGATCTAACAGGGGTTGTGTTACCCATATTTATTGTCCTTCTTCATCTCATTCTCTGCAGAAAATTATTAATGAAACATGTATGAATATGTACTTATAATATCTGTATTACAAATTTATATAGTTAATTATCATTTTGTAGACTTGAAATGAATACTATGTAAATTTTTTAAAATATAAAGTGCTAATTAATATTTCCTTTGAAGAATGTAGACAGAGATAGAAACTTGGATACGTACTCATGCCATCACTGAAGTTTTCCTTTTCTTTTTGTATATGTATATTTTTATTGAAGTATAGTCAATACTTCAATATTTACGATGTTGCGTCAATTTCTCGTGCACAGTATAATGCTTCAGTCATACATAAACATACATATACTTGTTTTCATATTCTTTTTCACCATAAGTCACTACAAGATATTGAATATAGTTCCCTGTGCTATACAGTATGAACTTGTTGTTCATTTAATTATATGTATTAGTTCGACTGATGTTTTCTTGACTTCATTCAACTCTTAGCAATTTAGGAACTGAATGAAATATAACTAAAAACATATCCAAATAAATAATAAGCAAAGTCATGGAAAAAGAAAAACTTGAACTCTATTTAATTTCTCTAATGTGAGAAAAATGAAAGTACCATTCTAATAAAAATTTTATACATTAAAAAAATCCAGTGTTTCCAAGTATACACACACACACACATACACATAAAAAATTCTTAATTTAAAAAAATGATTGTTAAGATTCTTG